CTCAGCCAGTGAGCGGGAACCGGTCTGTATGTGGGATCCGAACCCTCAGCGGGAGCGCCACCGCGCTCCCAAGCGGCGCACCGGGCCGGCCCCCCTAATATGCTTTTAAAAAAAAAAAAAATTCTTAATCAGAAAATTAAGGGGCCACTAGGTCAAAGTGGTGATTTGTGTTCCAGTGAAGCAGGAGAGAGGTAGAAGAACAAAGGCATTTGGGTGGGAAGGGGGAATCCTGATGGCAGCCTTCTGCCCTGGCTGTGGTTGAAAGGTTATACAGTCCCCCACCCTGGGCCCTCTCCTAGCAAAGCCATGCCTGGGGCATTCTCACAGCCTCCCCTGCTGTGAATGTCAGTGACCTCTCTCCCAGGACACAGAGATGGCCCATGGTGGTGACAGAACTGGGACCCAGTGACCTCCCTTCCGGGAAAGCCAGGTGGATTCCCACCTATTCTTCCCTAAGTGAATGTGCTAGAACCTCCTTCTAAGACCTGACTTTTGTGTGTCACCTGTAAGATGAGAGTTGGGTCTAGGTGATTGTATATTTCCATGTCTAAAGTCCTGTGTTTCTATCATTCTGATTTTGTTTCATGAGTTTGAGTGCTCTTCTTGCTTGGCTCCTGTGGTTAAGCCTTCTGAGGGTGCAGTGCTTCTTTGCTCACAGTAGGTACATGATAAATATGTGCCCAGCGACTAAGAGGTTGTCCAGAAATACTTGACTTGAAATACTCAGAACCCTGAGTTGTGATAGGGTTGCTTCTCAGTCATTCCATTGTGCGGATGGTTCTGGGTGAGCAGGAGTGGGTTTGCTGTTTCAGGAGACTGTGACATTCAGAGATGTGGCCGTGTTCTTCAGTCAGGACGAATGGTTGTGCCTGGACTCTGCCCAGAGAACGTTGTACCGGAAGGTGATGCTGGAGAACTACAGCAACCTGGTCTCAGTAGGTAAGGAGCTTACTTTGTGATGCAGGATCTGCCATGGGAGCATTTTAGCTATATGGCTGTATGGGGAGGTCACGAGTTGGTAGAGTTGACAAAGGATATCTTTTTTGTGCTTTTCCTGTCTTCCATTTGTGATGCAGGATCTGCCATGGGAGCATTTTAGCTATATGGCTGTATGGGGAGGTCACGACTTGGTAGAGTTGACAAAGGATATCTTTTTTGTGCTTTTCCTGTCTTCCGTCCTACCCCCTCCAGCTCTGTCTCCCTGGGCTCCATAGGGTATTCAAACTGAGAGGAGTGCACAGCCAGAGCTAACTTCCTGAGACCACCTCCTGGCCACCACCACCTTCCAGGGGCCTAGGAGCCCAATGTTGAGCTCCTCTCTGACCAGACCTCCTCCTTCCTTGCACTGTCCCTCTGCCTGGGGACTCCAGGACTGGATTTATGTGCCACTGGATATGTGTGCATCCTGATGGACACTCATGTCTTTTTCTTGTTCATGAAACAGGGATTCTGTTTTCCAAGCCAAAGGTCATCTCTCAGTTAGAGCAAGGGGAAGACCCCTGGATGGTGGAAAATGGAGTTCCTCAAGGTGCATGTGTAGGTGAGTGTCTTAGTCTGTTTTGTGCTGCTATAACAGAATACCTCAGACTGGCTAATTTATAAAGAACAGAAATTTGTTTCTCTCAGTTCTGTAGGCTGGGAAGTCCAAGATCAAGGTATTGGCAGGTTAGGGCCTGGTTTCTCTGCATCTGAGATGGCTCCTTGCAGGTTGCATGCTCCGGAAGGGAGGGGAAGGCTGGATCCTTATATGGCAGGAGGGCGGAAGGTTCAAGAGAAGGAGAGGGAGAAATAGAGAGTGCTCAAGAGCAAGAGCATGTGCACACTCCAAAAGAGGGCCAAACGCATCCCTTTGTAAGGAAGCTACTTCCTCAGTAACAGCATTAATCCATTCATGAGGGCAGAGCCCTCATGGCCTAATCACCTCTTAAAGGTCTCACCTGTTAGTACTGTTAAAATGGCAATTAAGTTTCCAACACGTGCTTTTGGGGGGACACATCCAAACCATAGCAGTGAGCGATAGAGTAATTGGGAATTGGGCATAGCATTTTCTAACTGCCTGGGCACAGTGAGGAGACTGCAGTGAGGAGTCACTGGCCAGGGGTCTCACTCATGTGCCAGGCCAGGTGGGAAATGCTGGGAAGAGCATATCCTCTCTACTTTATTGATTACTTTATCCATCAAGTTCAGAGGGAGAGTTGAATTCTCCCAATATGTACTGTACTTTTGTCAAATGTCTAATGTAATTTGCAGAATATGTAAAGCAATATATAATGTGTAAAAGTTTAGAATTCTTCCACATTTTTCCTTGCTTTTACTGGATTGATTGTTTTCTTAAATCATTTTCCTTTAGTGGTTTGAACATACCTTTTATCATTAGAGTACATCCCTCGTTTTATCTTGGACTTTTGCTTTGACTTTTGTTGTCTGCAACTTATTACACAAGTTTCAGTGAAAATAAAAAAGCAAATGTACGTGTATTTATACATACATGAACAACAGAAGCTGGGTGTAGCAAAATGGTAGCAATTATGGAATTTAAACAGAAGATTTGCAAATATTCATCATGCCATTCTTCTCACCCTTCTCTTTGAATATTTTCAAAATAATATGTTCCAGATCCTGGCTCCTAGGACTTATTGCTTATTCTTTAAAACTCCTGTGGGTAGCTGCATCATAAGCTCCCACTTTCTGTTGTACTTGGAATTTTGTCTTTGTATCTGGCACCAGAGGGTAGCTCTCGCGAGTTCAGCAACTTGCCCACAAGTTTTTTAGTTAAGAAAATAAAAGCCCTTTCATAAAATATAGTCATTCCTTTTGAATCAATGATTTTATTTCTTGCACTGTAATCGGAAAGGTAGATAAATTATTCTCAAAAATGTATTCTTCTCCCAGTATTCCCTAATATGATATAATTGAACTACTCAAACCAAAAGCTAGGTGTCATTCTTGAATCCTCTGTTTCATTTTGTCTTTGTCCTCTGTTCATAGATATCTGCCAGCTCTACCTCCAAAACATCCCAGGTGTGCCCACCTCTTTCCTTCTCCACCACCGCATGCCAGAGCCAGCTACCATCTTCTCCATCCAGGAGGGTGCAGTGGCCTCCTATGGGCTGCTCTGCACCTGCCCCTGTTCTCTTCCCCCACCTCCAGGTAGAGTCCATTTGTCACACAACAACCAGAAGGATCCTTTTAAAACAAAACCCATCTGATATCCTATCCCTTCTAACCCCCAGTTATGCTTAGAAGAAATTTCAAACACTATCCTATATCTACAAGACTGCACATGACATGGCTCCTGCCCACCCCTTTTCCTCATGACACTCTCCCCTTGTTTACTCTGCTTGAGCCACATTGTACCTCTTTATGTTCTGGAACACAGACAGCTTATTTCTGCCCTAGGGTCTTTGTGTTAGCTGTTTTTTCTGACTGAATCATCTTTATACCCACATTTTTGCCTGGCCAGCTCCTGTTATTTAGGTCTCATCTTTAATTTCATCTCCTCATGGCCTTGTTTAAAATGTCTGTTTATTAACTGCTGTTGCACACCGTCTTGTTTTTGTTGTTCTCTTACAGTTCTTGTTACTCCCTAGTACTTTTTTGTTGATTTAGTTCTTTGGTCATTGTCAATATCCTGTTACTAGAATATAATCCTTGTAAGCATAGGCCCTTGTCTGGCTTGTTACTGTAGTTCCCAGATTTTTGACCTATACATGGTGGGCACTCAGTAAATACTGCTTGAGTGAGTGAGTGATGTCCATCACTCATTATTTGTAGCACTATTTATAGCACTCAGATGAGTTCCAGAGCAGCACTACTGGAGTGAGTGAGTGATGTCCATCATTATTTTTTTTTTTAATATATATATATTTATTTATTTATTTAATTTATTTAATTTATTTTATTTATTTATTTATTTTGTGACCAGTAAGGGGATCGCAACCCTTGGCTTGGTGTCACTCGCACCGCGCTCAGCCAGTGAGCACACTGGCCATCCCTATATAGGATCCGAACCCGCAGTGGG